AAGTCTTGCTCTAACTTAGTCTGAATCACCCAGCAAAATAGCGCAACCACAGGGTATAAAAAGTAAGGCTCTTTTACTATACTGAGTTGTAAAAGGCTCAAGTCAACAGCTTCCGTCATTTGCCAGTTGTGCTGGTATCTCAATACTTTTATTGAGATAAAATAATTACTTGTAGTCTATATTGGGTTATTTTGCTGAATTCAAGTACCTACAATATTTGGACTGGCATCAAGTATGAAAATGTCATTGACACATTTCTCCAAATATAGTTTCTCTAACAGCAATGGAACCATCATCCCTGATGAAGCAAAAACAAACAAACAAAAAAAAAAAACAAAGAAAGAAAAAATTGCAAGGGGATATAAATGAAGGAGTACTTTTTGTTGAAGAAATATATATATGTGTATACAAGATAGGATAAATATGCAGCTACTTTCTCTTAGTTCAATGAGAAGAAAATTTGTTCTAATATTGTTTAGACAAGATATCATGTCTAAGTCTTCTACTACGAATAAATACTATGAAGACAACAATATGCAATCTATTCATCATTTTAAATGTCCTACTAACCAGTTTTGAATCTCTCTCATTGCTATTTTATCTTATTTTCTCATTAAAAGGAAAAAAAATTTAAAAACCATGTAAATTTGCATTTTAGTAAGAGAAAATGATTCTTTTCCTTGATCAATAAATACTGTCAATATAATGTGTAAAAATAATTTTTGTTTATTCTTGAAATATAAATTGTTTTTGTTTATGTTATTGAAAAACTTTTACAATATTATTAGTTGATTGCATAAATTTTCTGAATTGCCAAAAAAAGAAAGTCACTGCCAATAAAAGCTGTGTATTTTGTAATTATTTCTGTGACTGTTTATCCATAGAAGTGTTCTTGGTTGTTGCACATAATACATAGTTTACGTTAACTGATTGGTTATATTTTCAAGGTAAGAATTTTTAGATTTATTAATTAAGATTATAATTGATACATGCAAAGTTAATGCAGGTCTGCATTATACATAATATCTACATAGATATTTAAGGATGGAGAGTGGTTATTATTGCTGCTATGGGTTTCAGGCCATTTGAAAATAACAAAATATTTGTTTACTAAATGATACCATACTATTGTGGTATGCATTTTATGCCTAACAGCCACAGGCTACTGTAATTCTTTTTGCACAATGATTTAATCCTTTGGAAAACAGTGGCACAAAAACCTCGAGTCTCCCTTAATTTTAAAAAATCAATAGAGCACCTGTTACAAAACCATGATCTGAAGTTTTATTCTGGAAACATCCAAGAGTTAAATAAAAACATGAATATACTTGCTCTTTCCTTTCTTTCCTAATACAGATAATCTTCAAATGATTTAAGTTGATAATAACTTTCTAGTGGAAAATTTTCCCCAGCATTTTAGGCAATGGAACTCAACCAAGCACAGAGATGAAGTCCAATAAAAACAGAATCAGTCAATGTATAAAGTCAGAAAGAAATTTAGAAGTTATCAGAAAACTGATAATAAATATGTGCAGTATAAACAAAGAGATACTATTAATTACCAAAAATTGTAATGAATATATTCATGGTTCACTTTGCTAGGCAAATCATAAATTTATATATTACTTGCTTATAAAGAATCTATATAAACAGATGAGGAGAAATTTAAAACCATATGACAGAGGTAATTATACAGATATCACTATGCCTAAATGAGTCACAGTACATCTTTTACATGTTTTAATTTATGAAAATTTCCATTCAAGTTTATGAGTCTAAGCAAAAATTCATGATTGATTAGGACTAGTATGGAAGTTCAAATTATCACAGGGAAATATAAATTCTGAATTTACATAACCTAACAATTTAAGGTTGAACAGCAAAGAAGAAAACACATAAAGTATACATCGATGATGATATAAAGGCCTAGGAAATTAACTTTGAAAGTGTAAAAGAAGTAATATGAATAGAAAGCAAACGTCCAAGAATTGTTCGGCTGTGTGGTTAGGGTTTAGTTAATAAACTGTGTCTTCTTTCACATGTGTCTTTAAGAATCTTGTCTGAAGGAAAGCATGATTTCTGCATAAAATGTAACGTTTGAAATGTAAATACATGATACTAATTTTTAAAATATGTATGGAAGATAAAACCATGTATATATATACATATATATATAGATATATATTTTAATAACTTTAGTTTATTAGTCTATGTAGAAAAATAAACGCTTTTCCACTGTTCATGAGTGTGTAGACTGGTACAACCACTGTGGAAGTCAATGTGGAGAGCTCTGAAAAACTAAGATTAGAAGTTGCATTCCACCCAGGCATTCTCGTTCTTGGTGTTTTTCCAAAACAACTGAACACATCGCACCACAGTGAAACATGTGCACCATGTTTGTAAGAGCACAATGGGTCACAGATAAATTTTATAAACAACCCAAATGACCATCAGTGGAGGAATGGATATAAAACAACTTGTATGTTTATACAATGGAGTATTGTTTGGTATAAAGATAATCTTGAGGCTTTTCCAGGTAAATGGATGTAACTAGATGCTATATTCATAAATGAAATAGTTCAGACTAGCAAGTGTAAACTTCATATTGTCTCTCTAGTGTAAGAATCTGAAAGAACAAATAATAGCAAAATCCTGGTCAACAAAAGCAAGGCAAGTGGTACCACAATTTCTGACTTGCAATTTTATTAGAGAGGTACTGAGAGAAAAACAGTACAGTAGTAAGAAAAGAAAAGGAGATACAAGGATTAATGGAACAGAGTAGAAGTTACAGGAACAATTGTAAATATATTCAGCCACCATATCTTTCACACAAGTCTCAAGCCCCAGAATGGAAAGATACAAAGGCACACTAATGAGTAGCGAGGGAAGAGCTGGCTTACAACATGCCAAAGACTAAAACCAGACCCATCTCTCTCACCATGAACTAAACTAAAATCACATATCAAAGATCTAATTATTAAGAGGAACAATCTGTTATTAGAGTAGACAGAACCTTTAAATACACATATGTGAGCCACGGTTTATGAGCTACACCCTACCCACACAGAAAATGTAAAAAATCTAAAACAGGTGTCTCATCAATTTGAAAAGCTTTTGCACAGAAAATGATACCACAAGCAGAGTAAACAAACTACCAGAGTGGTCAAAAGTTTCAACCAGCTCTTCCTCAGATAAAGTGGTAGTATCTAGAATATATAAAAATCACAATAAAATAAAATCTTGGAAGTTTAAAAATGCAATCCAGAAAGGAACTTCTGAAATGAATACATAGTTCTTAGATGAAGGGGTAGAATTTGCAAATATATGAAAGAAACGTTCAACATCACCCACTGATGCTTTAAGCAATCAATTAAAGATATCAGTCAGAAAGAAGTCCTGGAGGGGCTACAGCAAAGCAAGAATGATTTTCTACTGTTGGTTGGAGTGTGGACTTGTGCAGCCACTGTGCAAAGCAGTACAGAGATTCCTCAAAGGGTAGGACTAGAGTTTCCTTTATTCCCAGGTATTCCCCTTTGGGATATCTTTTCAAAAGAATTGAAAGCATACTACTCTAGCTATGTATGCACACCCAAGTTTATGGCAGCACAGATTGTAAGAGGTAAGACGTGGAAAGAAAACAAATGACTATCACCTGATGAATGAACATTAAAGATGTGTTTATTCAGTACAATGTAATACTATTCACCCTTAAATGGTAAGCTTGACCTTTCTAGGTAAATGGATGCACTCTACCCTTGAGACTTTACTCTTAAGTGAAACTATGTGAACACAGATGTTAAAATGATACATAATTTCTCTGGTGTGCAAAATTGAAAGTATAAATATAAAGTGAAATATATGCTACATGTGTTGAAGTAGTAAAAAAATTCAAATGAGAAGGGAAAAAGGGAAGGCCTAGGAAAAGAAAAAGTAGAATGACAAAAATGAAAGAAAGTTTCTGTAAATAAGAAGAAGAACACTTGAAGCAAAGAGAGGAAAGTAATCTTTGTTTCTCTTTCCTGTGTGGGTAACGATGGATCTCACTATTCCAGAAGCAGCACAGGTCAACCATGGATAAATCAGAAGAGAGATAAAATCTTCGAGCTAAATATGCACTCAGCACTGTTGAAGATACCACCTGCCACCTTCGGAGACCTATTCAGGAAGCTCTGTGTGCAGGAGCAGGATTTCTAGTGCAGTTTTCATTGAATTCTGCCCCAGAGATGTGGCCTGCATACTCCACAGACAGTCATGAAACATGTTAAAAAACGTCTCCCCACAGGTTAACCAGTTTAAGGCCGGCATCCCAAGATTCATCAGCAGGATCCTACATCCCATGCCAGTAATAGTACCCGTAGTGTTTGATGGCTGAGTTCTGTCTTTTTAGTCTTGGCACAAATGTCATGAGCAGATCAGGATATAAAATAGGAACTATGAATAATTTTTCTGTTAGGAGAATCTGGGTCTACATTAGCACACTTAGTTGGGGCCAATACCCTTAATTATTAATATTTTATCTGAGAACGAAGTACCTTGAAGTATAAAGTGTGATCAGAGATCTGCTATTTCTTACCAACCATAGATGTTTTAATAGTCAAATCCGTATAGAATGCTAATAGACAAGATCTATAGTTTTACAGAGAAAATTAGACATCAATAGTAGTGCGTAATAGTTAAGGGCATTCAGGCTAATAAAAATATGTATTAAAATTCATAACAGTTTTGAAAAGTTCAAGGTGAAAGTAAAATAATTGGTAACAATACAATCAACAGTGAGCGTAAAGAAGATTCATTGTAGATTAAATGGTACAAAATTTTGAAATAAAATTTCAATTGAACAATGTGATAGTTACTGAGGATTACACATGAAAGATTATTAAATTATGAACTAGTAGTCCTTTCTTTAATATAGAAAATTCTAAACCATATGAAATACAAGCCTGGAAAGTGGTGCAGGATTGCTTAAGGCAATAAATTAATTATAGTAAAATCATAAAGTTTTAATTTAAGAATGCTAATTTTCTTTCAGAATGTTTTTTACCTTTCATCTCAGGAAGAAAATCATTCTCTGGCCTTAACAAAATAGCATAGCACTTGGGGGCAAATATGCAACCCAGCAACCCAGCACTGGAAGCCAAGATGCAGAAGACTTCCATGGCCACCATGACCTTCCCCTTGCTGCTGTGGTACACGGGCAGGAAGGTGACCCACACGCTGCAGAACACCAGCATGCTGAATGTCAGGAACTTGGCTTCATTGAAGGTGTCAGGCAGGTTCCTGGCTAGGAAAGCCACAGTGAAGCTCACCAGGGCCAGTGATCCCAGGTATCCCAGGACACAGTAGAAGGCAACGAGGGAGCCCTTGTTGCACATGATGATGATGTGGCCATGTTCAGAGTGAGCATCTATGTCAATGTAGGGTGAATTTGCCCCCATCCAGATGCCACAGAGAGTGAGTTGCATCAGGCAACAGATTGGGATGATGTAGTTTGGTGCCCCTGATGTCAGCAATTGCCTCATCCTTCTGCCTGGGGCAGTGGCCTTAAAGGCCAGCAACACCGTAATAGTTTTGGCCAAGACAGTGGAAACAGCCACAGTGAACACAACTGCAAATGTGGTCTGCTGCAGGATGCAGGTGGCTGCGTTGGGCTGGCCAATGAAGAGCAAGGAGCAGAGGAAACAGCAGGTGAGGGAGATGAGCAGGGTGTAGCTGAGAGCCCTGTTGTTGGCCTTGACGATGGGAGTGTCTCGGTGCTTCACAAAGAGCCCAAGAACAGCAGCTGTGAGGACAGTTAGACTCAGGGCTGTGGCAGCCAGAGCCTTTCCCAAGGGGTCTTCATAACCCAGATATGTCACAGCTTTTTGCAGGCAGTAACTTCTCTGAATATTGGCATATTGATGATCTGCACACTTTGTACACTGTTCCATATCTAGCAGAAATTAAAATTGTCATTTGCATGGATTATTCTCATTAATTTTTCTCAAACCCATTATAGGAACTCACTTAACTTAAACTAAATTGTCAATGATTACATTATTCTTCTCCTTTTTTCTCCTCTTTTTCAGCCTTTGGTATTGAATTCAAGCTTTGCACTGAGATATATTTTCCACACTTTAGAAGATTTTTATTTGGATAAAGAATCTGTCAATATCACTATTAATTCAAGGCTCTGTTCCAACAGAAAATCTTTTTTTCTGCTACTAAGAGCGCTGCAATCTAGGCATGCATCACCACAACTCACTGTTTCATTTTTCTTCTAGATATTATATAAAGAACACCTAAACAGTCAGTAACTCCTAAATAATCCTGATTATTTGCTATTTATTTCCCTAATAATTCTGGCATCTCTATGAGAACTTTTCAGTTTTACAAAGCAATAAAGTATCTACTTTTATTACTTTATTCACATGTTTTAATTATTTGATCTAAACATAAATCTGTTTAATAAATTAAATAAATTATTCCCCAGATATTTAATGAATATCCTCATTTTAGGAAGCCAGCATTATTTTCTAAGTTGATGGGTAATACATATGAGGAAGCATATTGACTCTAAAGTGTTTCTAGTATTGAGACTGCATGTATGAATTTGATATGTGAAAGCATTTATTTAATTTTTACTATCAAAGGGATATTTTAGTAATTTGATATTGGTACCTTTTAAAGTAATTACAATATGTATCGTTATAAATTTATTGATTTTAAATATGTGAAAAGTGAAGTTTAAAAATTGTATCTACAATGTAAATGTGTACTACTACAGACATTACCAGTAGGGTAAATAAATCAGATACACATATCTTAATGTCATTGTCTCACTAGTGGAAGAATCTGAAAACGTAAATAAAATATGAAAGGTACAGTAGATACTGTAAAAGGGAGAGAATATATTCAATGGGAAGGAAAAAATGGGATAAGGAAATGGACAAAAGTATCAATGGAAAATATATCTGATAGCTTGGATAATTGTAGCTCCGATATTTGTTTTTTTTAATTAAAAAGTACAGCAAATGCCTAAATTATTTTTGTCTCACAACCTAATGTTTCAAGATTGTAACTTTTAATCTAAACAACTAATTAGAAACTAATACTATGTTTTTCAATAATGACAGTCAAATTCCTATTATTTTGTTTTATGGAAGTCTGTATCATCTCTGTTGTCCTTTATTTCCTTTTGATATTTTTCATCCTGTTTAAAGGATGGATACGACATTTTCTCTATGAGAGATTTATGACTGATATGTCAATGATGATTTTGTACTAGTCTTATATTCCCTAAGTAGAAAACTAATATTTTTAATTATGTATGTGGATTTTACACTAGAAAATATATTTGAAAAATTCTATTATTTATGTTTTCCTTTAATATTTTTGAGACCCAGCACAAGCTTAGGCCCAGCCCGTGTGTGGGAGAGCAACTTTGTTCCCCTGCGCCCACTGAATTCCCCTTAATACTGGCGAATTCAATACAAAATGTAATAAAAAATCTACCAACAAAGAAATGTCCAGATTCTGATGGATTTACAGCTCAATTCTACAAGAAATTTACAGAAGATGTAATTCCTATACTCCTCAAACTCTTCAGTGACATTGAAAAGAAACAATCCTTCAAAAATTGTTCCTGGAGGCAAGTATTATACTGATACCAAAACTGGGGAAAGACATAAGTAAAAAGAGAACTACAGGCCATACTTCTTCGTGAACATAGATGCAAATATCCTCAGTAAAACCCTAGCAAATAGAATACTGCACATCATCCTGAAGATTATACACACAACCAAGCAGGGTTCACCCCAGGGGTGCAAGGCTGGTTCAATATATGCAAATCTATAAATGTAACACACTATATCAATAGAACCAAATCCAAAAACCACATGATCATCTGAATTGATGCAGAAAAGGCTTTTGACCAAGTGCAACATACATTCAGGTTCAAAGTCCTAAAGAAAATTAGAATAGCTGCGCTCTACTTCATTCTGATGAAGACCATCTGTGACAATCCAAAGGCTAACATAATTCTAAACGTGGAAAAATTGAAATCTTTTATTCTCAGATCATGTACAAAGCAAGGATGTCTCTATCACCAGTCTTATTCAATATATTTCTAGAATCGTTAGCTAGAGCCACTGGAACAGAGAAAGACATACAAGTAATTAGAATAGTTAAAGAAGAAAAACATTTGCAGATGACGATACTTTACTTGGAAGACCCAAAAAACTCCATCAACAAGCTACTAGAACTAATACACAAATTCAATAGCACAACAGGATAAAAGTCGATCCCCAAAAATCAATAGCACTCCACTACACAGATAACAAACGCAGTGAGAGAGAAATTAGCGAAACGATACTTTTTAGAATAGCATCACGGAAAATGAAATACTTAGGAATTAATCCAACTAAAAAAGTAAAAGATCTATTCAATGAAAACTATAGTGTTATGAATAAAGGGATCATAGAAGATTTAAAAAAAAATGAAAAATATTCCCTGCTTCTGGATAGCAAGAACCAACATTGTGAATATTGACATACTCCCAAAATTTTTGTACAGGTGTAATGTCATCCCTATCAAAATATCAGCAACATACACCACAGATCTAGAAAAATTATTCCTAAAATTTATGTGGAACCAGAAAAGACTTAGAATAGCAAAGGCAATCCTGGGCAAGAAAGACAAAGCGGGAGGCATTACAATTCCTGACTTGAAATTATACTACAATGCTACTGTGGTAAAATCAGCATGGTACTGGCAAAGAAAGACCTGAGAATCAATGGAATAGATTAGAAAATGCAGAAACCAGTACAAACAAACTCAACCATCTTATCTTTTACAAAGGGGCAAACATGCTTATTGGAAGAAAAATAGCATCTTTAGCAAATGGTGCTGGCAAAACTGGTTTTCTACATGCCAAAATCTGAAACTTGACCCAGTCTATCACCATGCACTAAACTAAAGTCAAAATGGATTAAAGATATAAACATTAAAACAGAAACATGAAATATCTTGGAGAAGAAAGTAGGAGGAGCGCTTGAAAACATATAGTAGGCAAAGGGCTCATGAACAAATATCAAATTTTATGGGCATTACTTGAAAAAGTTAACAACTGGTAACTCCTCTTATTGAGAAGCTTTTGCACATCAAAAGAAATTAGCAACAAAGTGAAACGACCAACCTCAAGTTGGGAAAATATCTTAAGTGATACGCACTCACACAAAGTTCTTCTCTCTAGAGTTTATAAAGAAATAAAAACATTAAGGGCCTAAAATTTAAAGACCCAATCCAGAAATGGGCATCTGAGATGAACACCCCCTTCTCTGAGGATGAAATTATACTAGAGAATAAATATATGATAAAATGCTCTATATCACTAGCCATCCATGAAATGCAAATTTAAACAACTCTGGGATAACATCTCACCCCAGAAGAATGGCTATCAGAGAAATCAGCCAAGAACAAATGTTAGAGAGGCAGCAGGGAAAAAGGAACGCTTCTCCACTGTTGGTGGGAATGTAGACTGGTGCAACCGTTATGGAAATCAGTGTGGAGACTCCTTAGAAAACTAGAATGGGAAATCACTTTCTAACCAGCTATCTCTCTTTTGGGAAGTTTCCCAGAGGAACTGCAAATATGATACCATCATGATCTTTGTACCCCTATATTTATAGCAGCACAATTTGTGATAGTCAAGTCTTGGAAGCATCCAAACTGCCAGTCACCGGAGGAATGGGTGAAAAAGTTATGGTTTTTATATACAATGGAGTATTACTCAGCTATAAAGAATGATACACTCAAAGCCTTTATATTTAAATGCTTGCCACTTCAAGGTATACTCATAAGTGAAATAAACCAGACTCACATGTGTAAATAATGTATAGTCTCCCTAGTGTAAGAACTCAAAAGAAGAAATAATAATAGAAAGGTATAGCAGAATTAAAATGAAAGTGAGAACTTAAGGATTAAACAACACATAGAGGGTAAGGAGAAAAGGTAGGAAACATGACAGGGGTAAAGCCATAAATTTATATGCACAAGATAATTAAGGTAATTATCCTGAGAATCCTCAGCAGGTCTTTTGAATCTAGCAGTTAATTTTTAGGATTCTCACCCTGACTAACTATGTATGCTGATACCTGTGTACAAAGCAACTGCACTGAAAATATCCATGTGTAATAGTAGGGTCATGCTTGGAATGTCTGTCATTCTGGTCTTCTACATAAGTACTTCTTGTCATGTCATATCAATTACTGCTATACTGTCTTCAAGTAAATATTTCTTTTAAGAAAGTTTAATAACTGAAAACAAGACACAAGAAAAAAAGGCATATGCCTGTCCTGCTGCGATGCTGTATATCATTAGGTTTTTAAATTTTTGTGTAAAAATATGTAATTGTTTATTCCCACTGTTATAATATTCTTTTTTATTGTGTATTTTTTTCTTCGTATTCCATAGGGATTTAAAGTTTAACATATAAATACTTGATGGAAATTACTTGTTCTATGTTATGTCTACGATGTTTGAAGTTCAGACAGCCAGGTTAAGCTCAACTGCCTGTTATGGGGTTATAATACCATTAAGCTTCTTTTCTGGAGGTTTAACACCTTAAGTTTGCACGCTAAAAACTAGAGGAAGAGAAGGGCTGCAAGACCAATATTTTGGCCCTGGCATTGAAAGTCACTGAGGACTCAGACATAAAAGAAGCTGTACTGTATCATCCTGTAACTCAGTGATGTCCCAAATTTTATGATCAAGGAGATTATGGGGCCACAAAGGAATGTGATCAACAATGAAGAGTGAGCCTAATATTTGTTCACACTGACACAAAACATTCTCTCATTCTTTCACAGAGAGCAAAAAGGTCAAGCAATAGTTATGACACATAGAGATGGCTGACACTGACAAAGGATCTACAAACTATGCTACAGGCTTTCAGGGTAAACCCTAGGGCATTTGACTGAACTTATCAGATACAACAGTTGCATTTCTTGTTATATAGGTCTTTCTTTATTTTGGTCTTAACCACTCATCAAAAAAGTATAAAAACAAGGTATAAAAAGTAAAGCCATATTAATATCCTGTGCTGTAAATGACTCAAGTCAACCACTTCTGACATTGCCAGTCCTGAGGATAACCCACTACTGTTATGGTCTACTA